TGGGCTGGAGAAGCCCAGTGTGGCTGCAGATCAGGCCCCTCCCTTGCCCCCGCAGCCGCCCTGCCTTTCCCCACCCCCCCTTCTCCTCCAGAGGCCACGACATCTCTGTGGAGAACTCCATGAGACCGACCTCCAATGCCTGCCCCAGGAGAACACATGCAGAGACCTCCGGAGGTTGCTCCGAGTCTCCAGGCCTGAGCGGTTCCCCCGGCAGATGCTCCAGGGAAGCATCCTCCTCCCTCGGTAGCCACGGATGGCCAGCTGGGGGATCAGAGCCCTTGCCAGGAAGGGGGTCCGGCCCCAGCCTCAGGCTGCCCGCAGCCCCTTGCAGCCTCTGCCTCCCCCTCCACCCGGAGGGTCTCGCATCTTGCTGGGCTCCATCGCGAGGAAACATCTTCTGTCAGACCAGCTCAGCCCGCAGAGGAGACGGGAGCACGTGCCCCACGGGCGAGACAGGATGGCCGAGAGCCCCACGCCAGTGAGTTCTTCCCCACCATCCCGGGGGGGGCGTGAGCCTGGCCCTGGCGCAGGCCCTGGTCTGGGACTGAGCTGGGCACTCGGCCAAAGTGCTGCCCCGGGCGCATGTGTGGGGCCCTGCCCCCCCACTGCTCCTCGGGGCTGCATTCTGGACCTGCCCAGAGGTCGAGGAGCGTCTCCGCCTCTCAGCTCTGCCCACTGAGCGACCAGAGGGAGCCTTGCAGGCCACGATCCTTTGAGGAGGAAAGGAAAGGGCGTGGGTTTAATCTTGGCCTTTACTTTTAAGTTACTTTCCCCCTTCACCATTCATGGCGCTAGGACACCACGATAAATGCGGGTTTGCGGGGGCACGTGCGTATCTCCGGTTCTGCACGGCCCACCCAGCTGTGGGGAGGAGTCTGAGAGCTTCCCCTTCCGCTCTCTGCTTCGCACTGTCTTGCGTCATCTGACCCAACGGCGGTTTGTGCAAACGAGCCAGCTTGAAGCGAGGCCAAGTCCCCCCGTCCATCCAGTGAAGTTCCTGGGGTGAGGTGCTGGCTCCAGGGCAGTGCAAGGGGGAGCGGAGGCGCCCGTGCCGCAGCCCCCTTCCCCCAGTGCTGCAGGCACTGGCCGGCAGCCACAGTGCCCCCTCCAGGTCGCAGGTGGCAGTGCTCCAGCCCCTAGGCGGAGGGGCCATCGGGGCTCGCAGCTGGGCCCTCAGCCTGAAGAGGGGAAGGGGGCCTGTCTGCAGAGTCCTCAGTGGCTGCGCCCCCCGTGTTGGGCCTCAGGCCCCGGCATCCCTCCTTGCTCCCCGAGGCAGGGCGGCCGGGCAGCCTTTCCCCTCTCTCTCTCGCAGGACTCAGGTGGCCAAGCCAGGCAGGAGGGCCGAATTCTGCCCAGTGAAGGTTGCGGGTGGGGGGCTGTACGGCAGACCTGGCAGGGGCGGGAGTAGGGCAGGCATGGCCCCCGAGGACCCTTGTGTGGGGGGCTGAGTGGGGGGCGCAGCTTCAGGGTGCTGGCAAAGCCCTCCGAGAGGCGCGCCTCATGATCGATCGCGGCTGCCGAGGAGGACGGGACATGTGCGCGGTGCCTGGAGCGGGGCCACACTTCCTGCTGCGCCAGGAGCAGCTCTGCAGCGGCAGGCGGGGGCTGGGCTCCCAGGTCCGCCCCTCTGGCCAGCCGGCCGAGGGCCACGGCTGGACGTGTGCCCAGCTTGCCCCACAGCTGGGGAAGGAGCTGCAGCCCCAGCGCTGCTTTGGATTTCCCTCCGAGTTCCTTCTGCATTTGGGGTCACGCCTGTCGGATCGCCTGCCTGCAGGCACGACTCCTGCTTCTTTCGGTCCCTGCACAACATTTTAAAAAATGTTTGGATGATGATGAGGAGGAGGAGGATTCTGCCTGTGGGAGCAGGCCTTGCCAGATGCGCCCGTGGGCCCTGAGCTCGTGCGCCCGTCTCCTCGCGGCTGCGCACACGGCCCCGCACAACCCTACCCATCCAGTCTGCGGAGCGGGTCAAAAGCATATTCCGCTCCAGTCCTGCTGGTTTTTTGCCCTGACCTGTTGGCCACGATCCTCTTCTGCAGGAAGGAAGGAAGGAAGGAAGGAAGGAAGGAAGGAAGGAAGGAAGGAAGGAAGGAAGGAAGGAAGGAAGGAAGGAAGGAAGGAAGGAGCCTCAGGTCCCTTCCAGCCTTTGGGCTCGTGACGGTTCCCCTTTCCTGACTGGATTCCAACATCAGGATGCAGGAGGTCGCATCCTTCCGCGCCCAAGCCAAAAGGGGTCAAGGCTGCCTCCCCTCCGCTCTGCCGCCACGAGGAGGGCATGGGGGCTTCTCCCCCTGCTGTTCGCCTTCAAGCCTTTGCGTAGAAGGCAGAGCCATCCCAAGCCCCGGCTCCCCGTTTCCAAAGCGAAAAAGCCCCCGTCTTGCCACGCCTCCTTGGAGAAACGTTGCTCCAGCCCCTGGCCATCCGCACCTCCGGTTTCCCGCTGGACGGCTTCCTTTCTCGGGTCTGGTGCCCCGAACCAGCACCATCGCCCGAGCGTGGCTGCGCCTTCGATTGCGCGAGGGCTGGGTGGCCTTGGCGGTTTTCTTCGGCCGGCCGCCCGCCCACCTGCAAGGCCGGGCAGAGGCCAGGTGAAGCTTCGCTCCGCTTGCTTCTTTCACAGCCGCCTCCGAGGGAGCAGAGCCCCCACCCTCCGCGGCGAGCGCATGCTGGGGGAAGAGGGCAGGCAGGAGGCCTCCCGCAGGCCGGGGCGTCCCCTCCGCGCTCCCACCAGCGGCCCGGCACTTGCGGGGGCCTCTCCCTGCCTGCAGTCTCGGCACGTGGCACGGGGCCCAGGTCAGAGGGCCCCGGCTCCTCGGGTGGGGCCTAGCGGAGCGCTCGGCAAGGAGGGGGGCTGGATTCGGGATCCTGGCCTTCTCTGGGGCAGAACAAAGTCCGGCATGCGATGCCTGCTAAGGAGACGGGAGAGAGGAAGCTCCGGCCTTCCCTCCCGATGCTGGGCACAGCCTTCCCTGGCCGGGCAGCCACCAAAGGGGCTCGACCACAACGCCCAGCATGCCTGGCCAGGGAAGGCTGCCCGGGGCATGCTTGAGGATGCTTTTGAGCAGGGGATGATGGGGGTCTGGCCAGGACACGTCGAGACAGGGCGAAGCCACCTGGGGGCTTTGCTGCCCGCCCCTGCCCGTCCACGGGCGGCGGGTGGGCGTGCCAGCAGTTGCAGGAGACCCTCCGCCCAGGAGGCCTGCCGGTCGGCCCTGCTCCTCACCGCCTGCTGGAGAGGGACACCCTGTGCCACGAGGGGAGGAGCCCTTCCGGCCCACCAGCTCCGCTTCCTAAAGTCAGTCCCCGAGCAGCCGGAGGACAGACAGACGGCGTCCTGCATGGGCTGAGCGGGCGAGGTGGCAGCCCGGCACCGGCCCTCACCTGACGAGGGGAACGCGCCAGGCCCGGCGATCATGCGCGCCCCCCTCCCGCGTGCCACCTTTTTTAGCCCCACCTGCGTACTGGGCTCCGGGCAGAAAGGAGGGGGCAGGTGTCCACGCTCCCCCAAGGCCCGTCCCCCCAGTGCCACGGCCTCTTCGGTCTCCTCAGCCTCCGCACAGCGGACGTGACCCACATGGGCTGCCGGCCGGCGTGGCGAGTCTCGAGGAGCCGAGTCTCCGCCTGGCACAGCGAGGGCGGCCGGAGGGTCCCGCGGAGGAGGCTGCAGGCATGCCCACTGCCCAGCTGCTCCAGGCCCCCGGGGGGGGCTGCTGGCCCTCCCTGACCGCTGCCTCGCTCCCTCCTCAGATCAAGGCTGCTGTTGAAGGGGCCGTGAAGCCCCCCCCCCTGCTCCCCACCAGCCACCGGACCTGGCCCATTGTCCCCCCAAGCCTGAGGCCAGGCCGAGGCCAGCGGGAGCGGCTGGCTCGCCCCCAGGACAGCGCCTGATGGAGGGTCTCGGGCACCTGTGCTCTGCACCCCTCAGTGGACGACGGAAGAGGGAGCTGGAGGGAACAGCACCCTCCTTCCAAAACGGGGTGCGCTTCTGTCCCTCCAGGAGAATGAATGGGAGGAGATGCCTGGGGGGGTCTTTTGGCCCTTCGCAGGGCTTCCCCCACCTGGTGCCTTCCAGATGGTTGGACTGCACCCCCCGCAGCATGCTGGAACTTGTAGTCCAACACAGGCTTGAGGAGACCAGTCTGAGAGCACCAGCAGGATGCACCTATAGCCAGAAGCTCGGAGGAAGCGGCTCCTGCCTGGAGGAAGCGCTGCTTAGCCTGGGTAAATGTGGGGGGGGGCGCCCCCGAGGCCGGGGGGGCCAGGTCTTCCTGGGCAGTTGCTGAGAGGAAGCGGGCCAGCTCCCCATGAAGCTGAGGCAGTGCTGGTCATGGGTAATCGAGAAGAGCCTCGTGGCAGCCGTGAGCCCAGGCAGCCTTACTCACGAGTAAATGCAGAGTCGATGACCCACCAACATGCTTGCAAAGGTTACCAAAACACACCAGAGTTTGCTGGAACCCTCCAGACACGCACCCAGACCTGTGCCTTTGCTGGCACCAAAAAAATGCGAACCGCAATTTTGCAAAAACTCTTTAACTGCATCAGGCGACCCAGTGAATAATCAGAATGGCCCCGAGACATCGAAAAGGGTGCGAGGAGGGGGGGGGGGGGGGGGGCGGGCGGTTGGGGAGCGCGGAGGCCCTTCAGCGCGATGGGGGAGGGACGCTGTCCGTCTGGAGGCCCCGGCCAGAGGCGCGCGGCGTGGGATCGGGGCCGCTTCCGCCCCGGGGGCGTCTACCGAGCGCAGTGCGGAGTTCAGCCATCCCTCCTCCCACCGGTGGGTTCCGGGGCCTCGGGGGCAGCTTTCGTGCTGGGGGGGGGGCGGGACTCCCGGGTGTCGGCTGGGCGGGGGCTGAGCACCTCCGGGGCCTCGGAAGTGGAGAGGAGCCGAGCGGAGGGACGGGAGGGAGGGAGCGCGCCTCGTCCGGAGAGCGCGCCTCCGAGAGCGGGGCTGCCGCGGGGGCTCCTGGCGAGGGCGGGGGAGCGGGCGGGGGGCTGTCACTTCAGGGGCACTTCCTTTCCACGCACTGTTTGCCCCCTTCCTCGTATTCCTGCTTGGAAATCCACATCTGCTGGAAGGTGCCCTGCGGAAGACAGAAGGGAAGGAGGGCGGCCCGGGACCCCGGCCCCTCCCGCCAGCTCCCTGCCCCGCGGGCACCCCAAGCGCGGCGCCGCCCTCGCGGAAGCACGTCGGGGGCGTAGCTCCCCCCCGGCCGCCGCTCCGGCAGTCCAAATGGCTCCGACCGCAGCCTCCCCCCACAGGCCGCGTCCCCGCCGCAGGGACAGCCTCTCCCAACCGGGCGCCCGCCAGATGGGCAGGACCGCTGCTGCGGCCTAAGGGCGCCCGCCTCGCGAGCCCCGACTCACTAGAGACGCCAGGATGGAGCCCCCGATCCAGGGGCTGAACCGCCTCTCCAGGGTGCTGTTGCTGGCGATCAGCTTCAGGCGCATGCTCTGCGGGGCGAACGCGGGGCGTCACCGGGGCGCGGGGGCGCGTCCTGCCCGCAGAGCCCGGCAGGGCGGGCCAAGGCCGCCCGCCTCTCCGGCCCGCCGGCTTCCGCGCCGCGCCTCGCCGCGCACTCACCGGCGGCGTCTTCTGCGACAGCTCGCGGTTGAGCCGGTCCGTGAAGCCCTGCAGGGGGGTGTTCCCGCCGGTGACGATGACGCTGCCGTACAGGCCCTGCGGAGGAAGAGGAGGCTGCTGGGGCCGGGCCGGGCCGGGCCGGGCCGGGCCGGCGCTGCGCCCGCCCGCCCGCCCCCCTTCTGCGCGCGGGCCGCGGCAGCCTTCCGCCCGGGGCCCCCGGGTGGCCTGACCGCGCGTGGCTGGCGGGGAGGCGCGGGCCTTGCCCCCAGCCAGCCCGGGGGCACCGAGGCTGCGGGCGCTCGCTCGCCCGTCCTCGCAGCGCCGGGCTTGGCTCTGCGCTTGTCCCGCAGGGCGGAGCCGCCGGCACGTGCTCGCTTCCGGATCGGTGCCGCCGTCCCCGCGTCCCGCAGCAGCTCCACGAGGCCCCGGCGCCTTCCCCGCGGGGCGCCGTGGAAGGAAGGAAGGGCCGCCGCTCCGCACATCTCCGAGGATCGCCGCAGGCCGCCGCGCTCTCCCGAGGGCCACGGGGGGTGGGGGGGCCCTTCCTGCTCACCCACACGTCGCCTGCGGGCCAGCGCTCCCCGCGCCAGGCGAGGCCCCCGGCTGCCATTCGGGGCATGCTGGAGGGCGGGGGGCCGCGAAGGGCATTTCCTTCCTTTTGCCCTCCCCGCCCCCTCCCCGCGTTTTCCTTCCCAATAAAATTCATGAAAGCTTCCCAAAATGAGAGAGAGAGAGAGAGAGAGAGAGAGGAGTTAAGGCAGCCCTATCTGGCTGAGGATTCTGGGAATTGTAGTCCGGGGCTGCAGGTCGCGGAGCGGGGGGCGACTCACAGGCCGGATGTCGATGTCGCACATCCCGATGCTCGTGGTGACCACGTGACCGACTCCCAGCATGGTGTTCCCGGACAGGCCCTGGAAAGGGACGGGCAGGCGAGCCGCGTTAGAGTCGTCATATAGCACATGTGCCACAGCACACATGTTCAGATGCGCGTGCGCCCCAATGCAATGGGAGAGCGGGCGTCACAGTGGCGGGGCCCACGCGTGTGCCAGAGGCCACAAGGCACCGGTCCGGCCGCCCGGGGACGGGGACGCCTCCATGCCGAGGCCTCAGCGGGCTCCCCCATGGAGAGGCGGTTCTGAGCATGCGGTGGGGCAGGAGCCCGGGGGCTGGCCGGGGTGCCGCAGGCCGGAACGAGGCGCCCTGCACACCGCTCACGCCTGATCCCGCGCACTTCCTCACGTGAATGGGCGTTGTTGGTGTGGCGTGGCGTGGCCACGGGGCGTGCGCAGCGATCGGGAATCCCAAGGAAGCCGGCGTTCGGGTGAATGTGCACCCGCGGCTGACACAGACAGATGCGCAGGCGGGCACAGCCGTGTCCACGGGCATGCTGTTTCGCGCTTGCGCACACGAGAGGACACATGCCGGGCTCTGCACATGCACAGGCGCACACACACCCAGCCGCAGTGGGAAAGGGGCAGGCGTGGGAGGGAGGGAGGGAGCGCTGCCCCGCAAGCCGCATGGGGTGCCTGCGCTTCCCCAGCAGCGCCTCCTGGCCCTGCTCACCTTCACATTGGAGGGGTCAAAGAGCCCCTCTGGGATTCGGAGTCGTTCTGCCCCGTAGTCTGTGTTATAACCATTGGGCATTTCGTAGTGGACGGTGGGCATCTGGGCAGCCACCCTGCTCCGGACAGGGGGGTGAGGAGAAGCAAAGAGGATATAGTGCCTGGCCACACCACGAGATGAAGCTCCCGCCGGCGCCCGGTTTGACCGAGGACTCTTGGAGCCACCCCCACGCGGCAAAAAGCCGGGCTCGTCGGCCAGGACCGCTCGATGCTCCCCTGTGGCCGAAGCGTGGGCCCTCGGCCGCAAAATCCTCTGCCACGGGCTGCACTGCTTTCCCCGGGCGCCAGCCTCCTTTCGTCTCCCTCCTGGGCCCCAGAGGTGAAGCCCGGTGCCTGCTCACGGGGGGAACCCTGTTCTCCCCCACTGCCTGTCCCTCACTCCCAAACTGCCAGCCTGTCCCCACCGGTCCGTGGCCCCCTTAGCTCGAGCCCCTTCCACTGCTGCAGCCAGGCCTCTTGCGTGTCTCTTTCTCCCAGTGACCACATGCGCCATGTTGCCTTGTGTAAAGAGAATCAAGGCTCTGGGTTTTTCCGTACAGAAACACTTGAAGCCTCTGGGTGCGGGCGCATTAGACCAAGAGGCTCCCTGCCCGGCACGAGCCGGCTGGCCCCTTCCTCCTCCTCGCCCCCTCCTGCTCCGAAGGGCTGCCGGCTGCTCCATGATGCAGCGGCTGGCGGGCCGTGTGTCCGAAGAACTTCTGAAAAGGCCGGAGTCGTGGCTGCAGCCCCGGGGCCTCTCCCGGCCAGCCTCCTGCGCCCCAGCGGCCCATGCGACCCACAAGCAGAGCGGGAGGGCAAAAGCACCTGCCCGCCTGCCCATCTTAGGGGCGGCACGGGATCATCGGGATGAGAGGCACAGCCAGCACCTGGCCAGGTGTGGAGCCACCTCCAGGGAGATCCCGGCCTCCAGAGGGAGGGGCTGACCTAGAGTGCTGATCCAAGTCCGAGGCGGGGTCCCATGTTCCCCCCACCCCAAACGGCCGCCCCCAGCCCTGGTACTCACTGTTCGTCGTATGGAGAATCCGAAACCTGCAGCACCGAGGCCTGGAAGTCTTGGATGACCTCCTGGCGGGGTGGGAGACAGCAGAGGTTGGGCTGTGATGCACCCAGCCGCTGCCCTGCATCCTCCAGGCATTCCAAAGCCCCTCATCCCCAGCCCACACAGCCAGCAGGGGATGATGGGGGCCTGCAGCGGCACCCATCCAGGAGGTGCCGGACTGGGGGATGCAAGTTGCAAGCCCCCGGTGCTGGCGACCGCATGCCCACCCCAGCGCAAAGCAGGGCCTGGGCTTTCTGGGACCCAGGACTCTGGACCCCTGGAGCCCCCCTGCACACAGCTCCCCCAGCCGAAAGCCCGGGCGCCGGGCAGCGCCTCACGTTGCACATGGACGTGTGCCAGGACTTGCTGACTTGCGGTAGCTTCTCCTTCTTCTTCCAGTTCGGGGGGGCCCCCTCACGCACGGCCTCCTGGGGGAGGGGAGAGACCCGGCTGGCCACCTGAGAGCCCCTCTTCTGCACCCCACATCACACACGCCTCTTCTGAAAGGACCGCCCCCAAATTCTGCCTGCCCCCACCCCATTCCAACACCTCCTCTTGTTGGGGTGGAGCTTGGGGCCAAATCCGGGGGTCTCTTTCTCCCCACGAGGGAAAAGCAAGGAAGGACTCATCCCGCACGGGACTCTTGTGGCTGGGAGAAGCCGGTGCAGGCTTTGGAGTGGCGCAGGGCGCCTGGACGAGGCCAGCGTGGCTGTGCCCCTGGCCATGGTGCCCTCCCAGGCTCCTGGGCGCCACATACTGGCTGGGTGCTCGGGGGCTGTAGTCCAGCAGCCCACAAAGTCTGTGCTCAGCGGTGGGGGGACTGGAGGAGGGGAGGCGAAGGACCCGCCGCTGCCACCCAGACCCTCTGTCCAGCCCCACGAGGGAAAGGGGGCAGCCCCACCTTGGCAGCAATCATGTAGGGAGGAATGATCTCAATATTCATCTCTTGGAAAAGTTCCCGGCACTGCATGGAGATGAAGTCTCCGGCGAGGGGCGATTTCACGATGCCTGGAAGCCGCGCGCAGGAAAAGAGGAAGGACGAGGAGATGCCTCCCTCACGATGCCTGCACCGCCCCCCGCCCCCCGCAAAGCATCTTCTTCCCGGCTGGCGTCCTCGTGGCTCCAAACCCAAGAGGCCTGGCTCCCAAAGGGGCAGTTGCCCCAGAGGGATGGTGCAAATCGGTGAGCTGGGAGGGGAGGGGGTTGCTGGCCCCTCCCCGTGCTGCCCTTCCACGATCCGGTGAAATGCTGCCCTCCAGCCGCTTCTCAAGGGAACCGGCGGCCCACCCTCCTCACAGAAATCGCTTCTGTGAGAAAGAACAGCAGCGCCAAGAGCCACCGGGGCAGCGAGCAGGTGCCCGGAGAAGGCCCACGGCGGAGCAGGGACTGCGTCCGGCCCCGGCAGCTCTGTTCCCTCGGGCGCCGGCTTTTGCCCCATGTCCCTCCGAACAGCCACCTTGCCAGGCCTCAGAGGGCTGCTCAAAACCCCAGGCAGCTTCAGTCCCAGGGAGAGCACGAGCCAGCAGGCCAACCAGCCAGCCCCAAGCCCCGGTGGGGCCCAGGGAGCCCAAGCCAGACCTTGCTGGAGGATGTAGCCGTCATGCACCGGGATGGCCGTGGTGTGAGTGGCGCCGCTGTCCAGGACAAGGCCGGTGCTGCGCCCGTTGGCGAAGCTGCGGGTCAAGTCAAGGCTTCAGCCGGGACCCCGGAGGGGGAAGGAGCCCCTCGGCCCCCCAGCTCTGCTCCACCCGCCCTCTGTGAGAGTACGGGAGGGAAGTAATCACTGCATCACACCACTGGGACCTGCCGCATGCTTGGAGCAGGGGGAAACACGTGCTGCTTGACGTGTCTTACACACTGAGGTGCCCCTTGGCAGCTGGCAAGCCAGAGCCACTTCAGTTTCCCCCCGCCTGGACCCTCCGGACGTCTTGGGGCCCAAGCTCCTGCGTGGCCAGCAAGCGTGGCCGAGGGGCTGCCACGTCTGGAGGGCGAGAGGTGGCCAAGGGCTGGCAGGCCGCGCTCCGTGTCCGACGGGCAAAGGATACGCCGTGAGCACGGCCGTCTTGCACAGGAAGAAAGCCGGGATGCTGTAGTGCTCGAACATGAACTCCGTCAGTTTCTCGCGCTTGGCACGCGTGTTCCACTGCAACAGAGGGCCGGGCGAAGCGTGTGAGTGCGGGGGGGGGGGCGTGTGGCGCCGGGGGGCGGCTTCAGGGGGCCCGTGACAGGCTACGTACCGGGGCCTCCGACATGAGCACTGGGTGCAGGCTGGGCTCCGACTTGATGTGCTTGTTGTACGTGTGGTCCAGTATGGCCTGGAAGCAGCCCCAGTCCTCAACTGGGGCAGGGAGGAGGGTGCCGGCACGGGCAGGAAGAAAGCAGGCCATCAGCAGTCAAGCCAGCAGCCCCAGCCAGAGACCTCCCCCCCCAGGTTCCCTTCAGCTGCGGGTGCTGTGCATCCAGTGAGGCGATTTCAAGCTATTGCCAAGTCAGGACGCAGCCACCCCGGTGGCTGGCCGGCGCACTGATCCTCCAGCGCACGTCAGCGACGCTGGCGATGCCCCTGAACCCCAATGGGCTGGGTCCCCGCTGCCGGAGGGGCTATCCGGCTGCCGGGAAGGCCCTTGGGGGGCAGTGGGGGGCTTTGTGGCCAAGCGGCACCAGTGCTGCAGTGCAGAGGAGCGAAGGGGAACGGCGAGGGGGCTCACAGTGGCACAGCACCCAAAAGCCCCCTGCCTGAGCCCTGGGTCCCCCAAGCCCTCTCGGGACCCCGGCCTTGGCAGCCCCAGCACCGGGCCGCTTGTCCTGTGTGACGTCCCGGCACCCCGGATCGCCCGGTGCCCCTGCTCAGCCCGGCCCCGGCCATACTCATCCCGTTCTTGAGTGGTGAGACGACCTCCGTGTTCTCCCGCGGCACGTGCAGCGAGTTGGTGTCGATGTAGTAGACCTTCCCGGATTTGTTCTCCTTCTCCCCGTCCAGCTCCATGGCAGACTCGTCGTGGGAGAGCAAGCCCACCGTGGTGGGGAAGTCTGCCTGCAAGGAGACGGGCACCGCAGTGGGCTGGGAGCAGCATCGGGGCCGGGCATGGGGAGGGGAGGGGAGTCCCGGCCGGGTGGGTGCTCAGGGTGCCCGGCACCATCCGTACCTTGGGGCAGTCTTCCCCAGCATAGCCGGCCCGCACCGAGAAGGAGCCCACGTCAAAGACCAGCGCCCCGACCTCATCTACAAAGCAATCAAAGAGTGGAGTGGTGCCCAGGGTGCAGATGCTGTGGGGGGCGGCGGCAGGGGAGCCCCCAGCCAGGAGGCCTGCCTGGAGTCGCTTCACTGTCATGGGGCAAAGACCGGCTTCTTCTTCCCCCGTTTTTAGGAGCCGCACAAGTTTCGCTTGCACAGATGGTCGATCCTGTGATGCGGTGTTGCTTGGTCTGGGTTTGCATGTCCTTCCCCAGCCTGGGCCAACGCTCATGCGGGAATGGGGAGCGTTCCAGTACAACCAACTGGGAGGACTGGCGGACAAGTCCTCTGTCTTGGCGTGCGGGTGGATTCTAAAAAAACGCGCATTTCCCAGAATCCCCCAGCAAGCACCTCTGGAGGGCCCCATGCCGGCAGAGGCTGCTCTACGGAGCAGAGAACACAGGTTGCTGCCTCAAGGGGCGTGCAATCGGCCCCGGCAAGGGGCGTGGGGGAGAGCGGGCAAGCGGCAGCGCCCCCCAAACCGGGCCTTCGCGCTACGCGGCGCCACCCCTGAGGGCCACCGTCCCGGGCCGGGGCGCGGGGGGCAGCACGGCGCCCGTGGAGGCAACGAGCCGGCGAGGCGGCTGCAGGGGTCCCCGGCAGGGATCGGCGAGGGCGGGGCGGCCCCCCCGAC